ATCTATCTATCTATCTATCTATCTATCTATCTATCTATCTATCTATCATATCTGTCTGTCTGTCTGTCTATCTACCTACCTACCTACCTGTCTATCTACCTATCATCTATCTATCTTCGCATAATGCAGTGCTCCATTCTACTTCTCCATTTCTTTAAGGAAAGAAATAATTGGCAATAGTTTAAATTACACTATTTGCTAAGGATAGGAGCTAATTGATTTTTCCCCACCTTATTCAAGAAACAGAACAGTGGTTTCTTTTGGCTTTCTCTTCCTTCATAAGATGGAAAAAAAAATCAGGAGAAGAAAGCATGTGACCGAGACACATTTTAAAAGACATCTTTCCCAACTAGGGCCATACACAAACCATTAACAAAGCAGTAAATGCATTTGAAGTGATACTCCAAGCTGATGTAAGTAATGGGTTCTGGCATTGTAGGAAGACTTATCCAGGTATATCTGTTCAGACCTCTACTATTTCCATTAGATTAATGTAACAGGTTGAGAACATATGCCCACTTTGGTGCTCCTTTTAGCCAGGGCCTCAAGACTATCTGTTGGAAAGGGGAGACTGGACTCGCCATGCAGAATATGCAAATGATATGCTCATGTCTTTTGGGGCCCCGAGATCCCTCAACCACGGAGGTAATGAGATGACTAAATGCAATCAGAGACGGCTTTGTTTGGAAGGTCAGAACATGTTTTTCTTTCCTTTCAAGCCTAGGAGAAAGTCTTGAGTGGAGACGGCAGCGAGTTTGACACAAGTCCCAGTAGACAAGTGTCTGAGTCACATCTGAAGGGTGGGAAGGGAAAAGGCTGCTGTCACTTTGCTTCTCTTGGGGCTGCATGAGACGATGTCACAACAAAGGAAGGACTTCCGTTCCTCAAGTTCACTGGGACAGGCATATACTTCCTTTTGATGAACTGGCAACTGTGAGGAAACTGGGGAGAAGTTATCCAGATCCCAACAGTGGTGGCTTGAATGATAACGGCCCCCACAGGCCTCTCGGGTTTGAATCCTTGATCCCCACTCGGAAGAACTGTTTGGGAAGCATTAAGAAGTGTGGCTTTGTTGGGAGAGGGGCGTCACTGGGAGAAAGTCTTTGAGGTTTCAATAGACTCAAGGGATTTCTCTTTCTCTGCTTCATGTTTGTGTATCATGCTGTGAGCTCTCGACCTTCCCCTCACTCTGCCATCATGAACCCTCTGAAACCATCACCAAATTAAATGCTTTCTTTTATAAGTCGCCTTGGTCATGGGAAGTATCACATAGAAAAGTAACTAGGATACTAACCAAGAAGACTGTCTGGAAGGGCCGAGGGAACTCAGCAGAGAATGTGCGGCCCTTTACAGAAACTGCTGTAGTATTTGTGCATACTGTACATATTCTTCCGTATTCTTATTATTTCTATATCACTTTGCATGTCTAATACAATGTAAATGCTATGTAAATTGTCATTATACGGTACTGATTAGGGTATGATGATGAGGAAGAGTCTGTACGTACTAAATGCAGAGCAACCGTCACTGTGCTGGTTAGCTTTTTGTCAACTTGACACAAGCTTGGGCCATCAGAAAAGAGGAGACCTCAGTTGAGGAAATGCCAGGTAAGCCTGAAGGACATTTTCTAATTGAGTGATATGAGAAGGCCTAGCCTGTTGTAGATGGTGTCACTCTAGGGAGGTGGTCACGGGGAGCAAGTCAGTAAGCAGTTTTTTGTTTTATTTCCACAGCCTCCGATTCAATTTCTGCTTCCAGGTTCCTACACTGAGCTCCTGGCTTGACTTCCCTTCATAATGGACTATGATTGGGATGTATAAGCCAAATAAACCCTTTCTTCCCTAAGTTGCTTTCAGTCATGGTGTTTTATTATGCTAAGAGAAAGCACATTAAGACTCCCAAGTACACAGTCATACCAGGAACTGTTTAACACTATTTTCCCAGTGTATTTCTGACTCAGGTTGGGGAACCAATGGCTATGAAGAGCTGATATATCATGATAAATGGATGTGAAACAACCAAGCTAATACTGGCCTTTTTGGGGGAGAGTTCAAAAAAGAATTAGAGAGCTTAATAACCAAACTGTGGGAGCCCACAGAATTGGGTCTGTTCCACCTTGACTAAAGGTCAGAGAGTTCAGGCCTATTCTTATTCCTTCAAGGTTATTGATGAGAGGTATGACTTAAGGTGCAGCTGCTAACGAGACCTCTTGACCTAGGGTGTGGTTACTTGGGTGTTTTGGATATTAAGATGGCCCACTAAGGTGCATCTGTTCCACCTTGACCAAAGGTCAGAGAGTTCAGGCCTATTCCTGCTCCTTCAAGGATATGACAGGAAGTTTGACATGGGGAGTGGCTACCTTACAGGATGTTTGGCCTAAAGTACGGTCACTACATATCCTGC